CGCTCTCCTCCCCCTCCCTCCCTCCCGAGAAGCCTCTCTTTATTGTGCTCCGCCATGATGCCTCGCTCCCATCAGCCGCCGCCGCCGCCACATGGTGCGGCCGGACGCGGCCCCGCGCTCGGCCTTCCGCGCCGCTGCCCTTCCCGTGCGGCCCACGGTGGCGCCCCCGGCGCCCCCACCCGGGGCCGGCCCCGGCGGCCCAGAGCCGCGAGCTGGGGCGGGGTGGGGGCTCGGGAGCACGCGGCGGGCCGCGCGCCGGGCCTGGGCCGGCGGGAGGATGCTCTAACCCGCCCGGGCTCTCTCCCCACGTGGGGAGGCCACCCCGTGGCGCCGGCGTGCGCAGAAGCCCGGCGCGGCGGGCAGGGTCTTCAGCGGGTCTGCGGGACGCCCAGCCTCCTTGGGGAAGGCTCTCCCGGCAGGGGTCCGCCGTTCCCGGGATGGTTACCGGAAATGAGCCGCGCGATCAGGCCCCTTCACGCCCACTTAGCTTTGCAGGGTTCGCAGTCTTTCCCGGACAAAAGGGCACCTACTAGGAGCACACCCCTTTTTCGTCCTCTCTCTCCTGCACCTCGTAGTTCTCTGATCTCATACTTAGTCCCAGTAAGTGTACTCACAATCCTGCGGCACCGCGTGTGACACCGGTCCAACCTGAATTGGGTTGGAGGCGTGAGGAAGGTCAGATTCGAATCCTGGGGTTCATGTTCTAAGAAGGCAGAGTCGAGTGTTTTAAGACTGTGGGGTAGTTCTGAGTTCTTGCCTTGATGTCTTGATGTGTCTTGATGTCTTGGTTGTAATGGGTACCGAGCAGAATCTGTAAAAAGTATTGGTTCGATTGATACATTGTAGTGTCCCAATTTATATTGACAGGGATTAGTTTCATATACTAGTTAGCAGCTATGCTAAGTAATAAACACCAGAAATTTCTGAGGAAGACTGTTCTTCAGCATTCATAACTTGAAAGAGTTGGATTCTGGTCTTGTGAGGGAACTCTTAAAGCACTACAGCAAAACATTTATATATTTATATATTATTTACTTATGTATTTGAGTAGCCTAGCAGAGACCATGATTTGTGAATGGTCTCTTAATGTAAAAGTGACTTTGTCAACTACATGCATGAACACGTGGAGAGCATGCCTTGTAGGCACTTTTTTAAAAACAGCTTTTCTGTCAGAGTTTGCCTATCATCATAGGCTTTCTTAATGTCAGGAAAACTAGTTTGTCTTATACTCCTTTTTTTTTTTTTTTTTGCAGAAAAAGAACAACAAGAAGCAATTGAACATATCGATGAAGTACAAAATGAAATAGACAGGTAAAGTTTTTCTTAAGTTTTCTGAAGCACCTTTAATTTCCTGGTAATCATTGAAACTCTGGTCAGCTAAATCTATATTCTCCAGTGAAAGGAGCTCATTATGCCTTGGTTGGAAATACTATGTAGATTCATGTTATTTTTCCAGGAAATATTTGTACAAATCACAAAAAGGTTTTGATGAAAATACTTTGACCCTGTAATGATTAGTTTTGCTTTTAAAGGCTTCAAATTGTCCAAATGGTAGTGTAGTGATTTGTCAGGAACATGCATGAATGGTAGTGTAGTGATTTGTCTTCAGATAGTTTAGCATTATGGCATCAGTGTTGCTCCAACTTGCCTTGCAACTTTGTTACTCAATTAGTAGTTTTATTTAGAAATTCTAATTTAGGGAAGTAAACTTGGAGTTTGCCTGGAAATAGTAAATGAATTAAGTATACAAAGTTACCAGAATGTGGAGTTTGAGAATTGTAAGAACTGTTCCTTATTGTTAATAAAATTGCTATCAATTTTAGTCTAGAGTAAAAAACTATTGTGATTTGATTATTGAAAGTGGGTATTTTGTGCAGTCCTAAGGCAAATAAGAATAAATATACATTCTGTAGTCTTCCACATTTTTGTATTGAAATAACCATCATTGTCAATATGTCTTTTCATTTACTTCAGACTTAATGAACAAGCCAGTGAGGAGATATTGAAAGTAGAACAGAAATATAACAAACTCCGCCAACCATTTTTTCAGAAGAGGTCAGAATTGATCGCCAAAATCCCAAATTTTTGGGTAACAACATTTGTCAACCACCCACAAGGTATGTTTTGGGTAGAGCACTATTAAAGATAATATAGGATGTTAGTTTATTAGAGTAGAAGATGCTTAGTGCATGAGCAGAGTGAAATCCAGTGAATGGAGATGTCTATTTAAAATAGACTGTACTCTTAGAACTCAGTTTATTACTTGATGAAAGGTAGAGACCTCACTGGCACTGAACATTTTGGCTTTCTCTTAATAGGTTTATGAAATAAAAAAAAGCTCATTAGGGGATGGGGCTGTAGCTCAATGGTAGACTTCTTGCCTAGCACTTGTGAGGCACTGGGTTGGATCTTCAACACCATATAAAAGTAAATAAATAAAATAAAGGTATTGTGTCCATCTACAACAATGAATTTTTTTTTTTAAATGCTCATTAAGGGGCTGAAGTTGTGGCTTAGTGGTAGAGTGGTCATCTAGCATGCATGAGGCACTGGGCTTAATCCTCAGCACCACATACAAATAAAATAAAGATATATGCCCACCTAAAACTAAAAAATAAGTTTTAAAATGATCATTAAGGTGGGAAAGCTTAAAAGGGATCAATTAGATATTATTGTTAGCCTCTTTAAACTTTAACTGGCCTATAATTTGCTGGTCTAGTGTCAGCACTGCTTGGGGAGGAAGATGAAGAGGCGCTGCATTATTTGACCAGAGTTGAAGTGACAGAATTTGAAGATATCAAATCAGGTTACAGAATAGATTTTGTAAGTATGCACAATCTTGTTTGCCACCATGGAAATTAATTTGAGCTTTATTGAGAACACCTGTTTATTGATTTCTCAATCCTTCATTGCAGTATTTTGATGAAAATCCTTACTTCGAAAATAAAGTTCTCTCCAAAGAATTTCATCTGAATGAGAGTGGTGATCCATCTTCAAAGTCCACTGAAATCAAATGGAAATCTGGAAAGGTATGCTTTAAGGAATTAATGGACAAAAATAACATTTGTTTATTTTGTTTTGTAAATCCACTTAACCTAGTGCTTTTCTTAAAATATAAAAAATTTCAATGTGTTGAAGCCAAATACAATAGCTTATATGTCTCTTTAGAGGTTATAAGTTGAAACTTTTTTGCCTTGTGTTGGTGATTGAGCTTTTCAAATGGCATGACATTTCTCAATCCATTTGTAAGTTAGCTATAATTTGTAATTTGAAAGATTTTCTACTGTATTATTGAGGGTAGTTAAAGTGGGACTGATTTTTATGAAAAAGCTAAGTGTAGTTGATATTTCATCTGAGAAAGCAATCTTGTGCAACTTCGTCTCTGCCCGCTGTATGTTTTATAGTTAATTGCTTTTAGACAATAGTAGTATTTATACTGAACTGATATTTGTGGTGTTCTGTTTTGGGGAAGATTTTTTTTTTTTCCCAATTGTATGGAGTTTAGGTGTAGTAGAGAAATAGCACCAAAAATTTTTTCTGTTTTCATTTTAGGATTTGACGAAACGTTCAAGTCAAACGCAGAATAAAGCCAGCAGGAAGAGGCAGCATGAAGAACCAGAGAGCTTCTTTACCTGGTTTACTGACCATTCTGATGCAGGTGCAGATGAGTTAGGAGAGGTCATCAAAGATGATATTTGGCCAAATCCATTGCAGTACTATTTGGTGAGTTGACAAGTACTGTTGGGTAAATTAACACAAAGAGTACTTGTCTCAATTTTGGAAAAAAAATGAGTTCTCGACTCTTGTTTTTTTTAAGGTTCCTGATATGGATGATGAAGAAGGGGAAGGAGAAGAAGATGATGATGATGATGAAGAAGAAGAAGGATTGGAAGATATTGATGAAGAAGGGGATGAGGATGAAGGTGAAGAAGATGAAGATGATGATGAAGGGGAGGAAGGAGAGGTAAAATAAAGTTTGGCTAAACCCCAAAAGATAATGTACAAAGGTTTCACCATATGGGGTGGGGTTTTATATATAGAATAATAGAACTGACCTGACACTTAAGTGGGAGGATTTGGGGGGAAGATAAGCTATTGCATTGTCAACTAGAAATGTGGTGGTGTTTCTTTTTTTCTTTGGTGCTAGGGATTGAACCCAGAGGTGCTTAATTAACTACTGAGCCACATCATTTGCTCTTCATATTTTTTACTTTGGGCAGGGACTTGCTTTGACTTGGTGATCCTCCTACCAAGTCACTGGGATTACAGGCGTGTGCCACTGTACCCGGCAAACTGGAAATGTTTGCTAAGCTCATTAATAATTTAACTAGGTCTGGTTTTCTGACCACAAAAGTCTGTCTTTTCCTCTTAGCCAGTACTTACTGAAGCAATATGGGTTTGTTTTTTTTGTGTGTGTGTGTTTTAGACAAAGTTTAGAATCCCCCATTCCTTGGTTAATTGGTGCTAGAGATAGAATTTGCATGCTAGACAAGGGTTCTACTAAGGTACATCATGAGGGTAACTAAAGAATTTTTAAATGGTTAAATTGGTAGATGGGTTGTGTTTAGATTGTTTGGTCTGAACTGTACCCAGTGATTTGGTTTTTACTAGGAAGTTATTTTTCTGGAACAATGTGTCTGGATCTTTCAACCTTGATTTAATGCAGATTAATAATACAGTTTCAGAAAATTAGGTGGTACCCAGAGCATATTGCCCTCTTGTTCCTTGTGATCCAGTGGAAAGTTAGTGCACTTAGAATTAGCCCTTAAGTTAACTGCCTACTTTTTCTTTCAGGAGGATGAAGGAGAAGACGACTAATTGAACACTGATGGATTCCAACCTTTTTCTTTCTTTCTTTTGTTTTTTGTTTTTTTCTTTTGTTTTTTGTTTTTTTTAATTCAGTCCCTGGGAGCAAGTTGCAGTCTTTTTTTTCCCCCCTCCCCCCCACCCCCTTGTGCTCAGTCGCCCTGTTCTTGAGGTCTCTTTTCTCAAACCATGCTTCTCAACTTATTTTGGGGGGAAATACCTTGAGCAGAGTACAATGGGAAAAGAATCTCTACACCCTTCTGTTCTAAATTCATTTTTATCCCTTCCTGTCTCAAAACAAAAAACTGTATGGAATCAACACCACCGTGCTCTGTGGGAAAAAAGAAAAACCTTCTACTCCCTTCACTCTGCTGGAAGTTGGAGGGTGCTAGGCCCCTGTGTAGTAGTGCATAGAATTCTAGCTTTTTTCCTCCTTTCTCTGTATATTGGGCTCAGAGATTACACTGTGTCTCTATGTGAATATGGACAGTTAGCATTTACCAACATGTATCTGTCTACTTTTTCTTGTTTAAAAAAAGAAAAAAAAAAACTTAAAAAAATGGGGTTATAGAAGGTCAGCAAAGGGTGGGTTTGAGATGTTTGGGTGGGTTAAGTGGGCATTTTGACAACATGGCTTCTCCTTTGGCATGTTTAATTGTGATGTTTAACGGACATCCTTGCAGTTTAAGATGACACTTTTAAAATAAAATTCTCTCCTAATGATGACTTGAGCCCTGCCACTCAATGGGAGAATCAGCAGAACCTGTAGGATTTTATTTGGAATTGACATTCTCTATTGTAATTTTGTTTGTTTATTTTTAAATTTTCTTTTTTGTTTTCACTGGAAAGGAAAGATGATGCTCAGTTTTAAACGTTAAAAGTGTACAAGTTGCTTTGTTACAATAAAACTAAATGTGTACACAAAGGATTTGATGCTTTTCTCTCAGAATAGGTATACTTTTAATATGACCTTCCAAGTTTGACTTGTATAATAACATCATCGTCAAACTTTGTCACCCTAACTTCGTATATTTTGATACGCACTTTGCAGGATGACCTCAGGGCAATGTGGATTGACTAAAGGGATTTGAATCAATGTCTTAATGTCTCCGTAGCTGGGAAACATGGGTACAATTTGTTATTGGTTTCTGAACATGTCATTTGGGATAGTAGAAACTCAAAACTGAGTTATGAGTGATACCCTTGATTTTTATCTCAAATTGGCAGTTTTTAAAGTAGGTCTTCAATTACCTGGATATAGTAGTGCTTTGCTGCCACCATCAAACAGACCTGGTGCTCTAATGTCAAGTTGTTCGTGGGACAGTTGCTGGTATGTCTTCATTGGCTCTATAAAGTGTGGCCAAGAAGATGGGCTCTCAGAGTAAGAAGTCTGTGCTGGTGGTCAGGAAGAACTTTTTGTCTCTCTTAAGTCCCTGGTATCTGGCATAAATCTCTCCAACGCCAATGTGTGGATCTGGGTGGGATGATGGACTCTGCTCTGTCTGCTCAATGCTGCTGTGCAGAGAGTAGCATTTTGAAAAGCTACCTAATGCATAAGCTTTTTAATGCTGTAAAATATAGCTGAAATTAAATGCCACTTTTTCAAAGGTGAATTAATGGACAGCCTGGTCAAATTCAAAGCTTTTTGTTGTATAAAACTTTATATATGGAACTATTCCATCAATAGGCAAAGTGTAACCAAAACCTGTCTAGATGGATAGTATGTAATTTCTGCACAGGTCTCTGTTTAGTAAATACATCACTGTATACCGGTCAGGAAATCTTGCTCCAATAAAGGAACATAAAGATTTTTTTTGGACTGGGATCATTCTCCTTGTTTTGTAGAAAAACGTTACTTTCTTTGGATTGGATAATGTATTAGTGACTGGGGAAGGAGGGGGGGCTGCTCAAATAGTTTAGTAGGAATTATTCCATAGGTAACAAAGGATTGAGCTGGTTGGCACAGAAAAAAAATATATAAAATTTTTTTTTTTTTTTTTGTAAATCGGGTTTTACCTGGGCTGGTATTGAACTGGTCTTCCTGCCTCAGCTTCCTAAGTAGCTGAATTGTAAAATTTGTGCCTGGCTCATAAAAATGTATTTACATCATAATTGGGTATTTTTTATAGTTGTAGACAGACACAATACCTATGTTTTTATGTGGTGCTGAGGATTGAACCCAGTGCCTCATATGCAAGGCAAGTGCTCTACAGTTGAGCCACAACCCTCGCCCCAATAATCGGGTATTTTTTTATGTTGTAGTCTTAGCATTGACTCCTAGAAATTTAGTAATTTATTAATATTTCAGCTTCTGATAGTGTTTCATGAAAGTTATCACTTGCCACACAACTGGTTTTATGTACATGTGAGATTCTAGTTTTGTTTATTTTTAATACATATGTATATTTGCTGTCCCCCACCTCCACTCCCAATAGTGGAAATTGAACCCAGGGGTATTTTACCATTGAGTTTTGAGTTGGGGTCTTGCCAAGTTACAGAGGCTAGCCTTATGCTTGTGATCCTCCTGGTTCAGTCTCCTGGAGTTGCTGGGATTGCAGGTGTGACTACCACACCCAGCCAATTTATATTTCTGAGGAATCTTCTGTTCCCAGGACAGCCTTATTAGTGGGCCCAAGCAGTTCTGCCTCAGCCTCCTGAATAACTGGTACTGGGGGCATTGTGTCATTGTGCCCAGCTATAACATAATGTTCCTTTATTTTGGGGGGTATATATCAAAAGTTGGGGTCCTTTTAAAGTAATAGTTCCCCCCCCCCCCTACCATTATTGTTAATTCTCTAGATACTCCCTCTGTATATACAAATCTTTCAAGAGTACTAAGCTGTGGAGAAGCAAAATGGTAATCTTTGGTTCCTGAACATTCCTGGAATATCCATTGTACCTGTGTCCTGTTATAAGAGGGATTCTAGTGTGAATGGTAAAGGATTAGATATATCTCAAAGTATTCTCTTGCTCAAGGAGAAAGAACAAGTGGCCTGATTTAGTAGTTTCCATCTTTGGAGGGTATTGTATATTTTCAAACCTGTGCCATACTTTGCTTAGGAGGGGGATTTAACTGCATGAATTGGGATAGAGGACACTAGCTTGCAAGGTATAAACAGTTTCAAAACCTTAAGGAATGCTGTTTAAGACCATTCCTGAAGTTAAAGATGACTTTCTCCAATGATTTAAAAAATACAATAACTGTTCCCTGACCTCCCTCCATAATAAGCTTTCTTCACCTTCAGTACTAGGGATTTAATCCAGAGGCACTCTCCCCTACAGTTTTTTATTTGAGACAGTGTCTTGCAAATTCCTCCAGGGTGACATCAAATTGAGATTCTTCTGCCTCAGCTTCCTGATTTGCTAGGATTACAAGTGTGCACCACCATGTTCAGCTAACATGCAGAGTTTAAATGATCCACAAAGTACCTGGATGCTATGTTTGGCTGACAATGTTACTTTGCATTCAATCCACCTATGGGTTTCTAAAAGAAATTTGTGATATATGGATATTGGGGGCTTGTAGGTACCAGGACTCCTAACAATTGTGCATATGGGTTCGTTTTAGTAACAACTAGCTTCATGGTTTCACTTAGTTCCCCCCAAAGTATTTACCCCCTTAGGTTTTTGCAATGAACCCTTTAAAAGTGTCACCATAATGCAGTTCTGTTACAAAATGAAGACTCCTGAGAGAAGTTTTGTTTCATTTGTAATTTCCATAATTTGGGTGAGACTTTACTTTTTGCTTACTGTATATGTTCTCAGTGACTGTGTGTGTGCATGGGGGGGGGGGTAAGTTTTTTTGTGGGCCTCAAACATGGAAGTATTCTACCTAGGAGCCACATTCTCAGCCCTGAGTTGAGTGAATACTATGTATTTTCTAGAGTCTGCACCACCCCAGCAATGACCATTCCCATTAGAATGTGATCACTGTTACAAGTTTACTTTTTAACAGGTCTGAGGAAAGGACTAGTTGTGATTAGAATAAGAATAGTGGCAAGGACTTTTAAAGTGGAGCCTGTGTATGTCAACTTGAATAGTTGGTGAAATTGTGTACTGAGAATCTACCCAGAGACTAAATGTAGATGGGCTGTAGTACTGAGAGCCTTAAAGAATTAAGCAGCCCTGGACTTGGTTTTCCCATCCTGGACACATTAGATGGATTCTGCTACCTCTGGACTCCTTCCCCTTCTTGTGAGGCAGTGAAAATAACTCTTAACAGCAAACTGTCAGCTTCCTGGGTGCACAATGGATAAATGGGTCCTGGAGCTGAGAAGTGAACACCTTCCTGTGGAGAGTTATGTGGCATTTGGCTTCCAGAAGTAGTGACATTCACCCATCAAGTCTAATAGATATTTTTAGTGTTAACTGAACTGATTGTACCTTTGGGCAACTCAAAAAGAGAATAGCCTTGCTAGTTTGGTTTGTGTTTTTCTTTTTTGATGAGACACAGTCAACTGGGGCTTTTTACTTATAAATGATGAATGATAATAGCTCAGGATAACTCTCAGTTTAAGGAGCCTACTATGCTACTATGGTTCTAGAACTTGGAAGTCTGAGGTGAGAGGATCCCTTGAATCCAGGAGGTTGAGACCAGCTTGGGACACCTACTATATGTCAGGTTCTTAGTGTTTAGCCCTCAAAAACTCCTTTGTGTAAATGTGTCAAGTCACTGTGAGACCTAGGCATTCTCACTGAACCTTTGCCAAATTAATACAAGTGGTTTTCCTTCAATTAAAGCACTGGGGGGCACTTAGTCCAGGTGAGGGTCAATATTTCACCCTCTCCTCTGATGAAGCACCTTCCAGTGAAGTCAGCATAAAGGGCTGGCAAGCACAGGATGCCAAGAAATTGCCAGCTATAGACCAGGTAGCAATAACCAGGTTCTCCCACACGCAGCAGCTTCAGGCTGTTCCCAAAGCACCTCATGGAACTAGTTAATTTGCTGAGATAGTGGCTATTTCTCAAGGTACAAATGTCTTTTCTCTGGACTTTTCAGGAAAGGAAAAGTGGCTGAATTTTTTTTTTTTTCCTTTTAGTTGTCAATGGACCTTTCCTTTCCTTATTTATATGCGGTGCTGAGAATTGAACCCAGCCTCACACATGTTAGGCAAGCACTCTACCACTGAGCCACAACCCCAGCCTCCTGAGAGAAGTTTTGTTTCATTTGTAATTTCCATAATTTGGGTGAGACTTTACTTTTTGCTTACTGTATATGTTCTCAGTGACTGTGTGTGTGCGTATGGGGGGGTACCAGGGACTGAACCCAGGGGCAATAACCACTGACCCACCTCCCTAGCCCTTTTTATTGATTGATTGATATTTATTTTTTAGTTGTAGTTGGACACAATACCTTTATTATTTATTTTTACGTGCGGCTGAGGATCGAACCCAGGGCCTCGCACGTGCTAGGCAAGCGCTGTACCACTGAGCCATCACCCCAGCCATTTTATTTAAATATATGTAGGGGCTGGGGATGTGGCTCAAGCGGTAGCGCGCTCGCCTGGCATGCGTGTGGCCCGGGTTCGATCCTCAGCACCACATACAAACAAAAATGTTGTGTCCGCCGAAAACTAAAAAAAAAAAAAGTAAATAAATAAATATTTAAAAAAAAAAAATAAATAAATATATGTAGTTGATGGACCTTTATTTTATTTATTTATATGCGGTGCTTAAAATTTGAACCTAGTGCCTCACACATGCTAGGCAAACTCTCTAACACAGACATTTGGGACACGGTCCTGATAAGGCTAGCTTTGAACTTGCGATCCTCCTGTCTCAGCCTCGCGAGTGGTTGAGGTGACTAATATCTAGACAGGGCCAACCCGTGGGGGACAACGGTTTGGGATTAGCCCATTTGACACCAACGCTAGAGGAGTAGGTCCGGCGCGTTAGGGGCAGGAGCCAGGTCGCTGGGATGGGCATGGGGACACGTGCGGGAGAGCCTGGGGAGTAGGAAGAGGCTACCCCAGCAGGGAGGGGGCCCGCTACCCAAGCAGTGCTCCGCGACTGGTAGGGGGCGCTGTCCCCACTCCGGCCGACCCGCGTGAGCACGCGGCCGGGCAAAGCTGGAGGAACCCGGACTGGGGAAATGCCCTTCCTGCCCCTCCATTCCCGGGAGCATCAGTGTCACACCGAGCCGGAACTGCAGCCTCAGGAGACCAAGCGCGGGGCCCATTCCCGCTCAATTCGGACCCGCGGCTGCGCTGCGGTCTCGGATTTAGGAGAGGGGTCTGGGGCGCTGCTGCAACGCGGCCGAGAGGCGGCGCTGGTCGCGCGGGTCTCGGGAGGGGGCGCCCGATCCCGCGTCTTCCGCGCCGCCTCCCGGGAAGTTTCAAGTTTGAAAGCGCTGGCGGAGGAGCCGGGGCTTCCGGAACCAGAGTGGACGAGAGGAGGGGCCCGAGCGGCGCCATGGAGGAGGGGGCGCCGCGGCAGGTGAACGGCGTGGGCGAGGCCGGGCTGCGCGGGCCGAGGGGCGCGGGCCGCCTTGTCCGCCGTCTCTGGAGTCCAGAGCTCGGCTCGTGGCCCCGCCCCGCTCCCAACCCTCCAGTGTCGCTGACCGCGACGCCTTCTCAGGGCAGACCCGAGCCCCGGGTTAATTAGCTAATGGTCCCTGGGTTCTTCGGAGCCTCTAGTCCGGCCAGCCCAGAGCTTGTCCGAAACTGCAGTGGGTGCAGCCTGGGAGGGCGCCACAGTTCCCTACAATCGGTTCTTCCAGAACTCCAAGGCCCAGGGGAATTACCCGAGAAAGCAAAGAGGGGCCCAGTGGCACTTGGGAAGGTGCCCGGGGGCAAGGAGGTGTGCACGCAGTG